TTTTAGTCCTTCTTACATTAGATTTTGTCGACTTTGATAACGGTCTTTTTAGTCCTTCTTACATTAGATTTTGTCGACCTTGATAACGGTCTTTTTAGTCCTTCTTACACTAGATTTTGTCGACTTTGGAAACGGTCTTTTTAGTCCTTCTTACACTAGATTTTGTCGACTTTGATAACGGTCTTTTTAGTCCTTCGAGCCTCGTATTTCTTGAGCAAAAACAAAACCAAAACTTAACTTAATATAACCAAAAATAACAATCAAATAGGTAAGTATAACTAGTTAAATACACCGTTCTTCCTTATAAGGATTGCTTTGTTTCGTCACTAGGATACCTTCTTTGGCAACATTATTATCGGCCATAAACCCTAGAATATCTCGTGAGGTTTTAAACACCAATCGCCTTGTACAAACATTTCTAGACACAAGTTAATCTAGAAACCACACACTTGTAATAAATATCAGTTTGTTTGATACTCTGGAAAGTTGTTCTGGTATAGCTCAGTCAAATATTACATGTAACTGATGAAAAAAAAACAATTATTCCCGACTAACGGAAACTAGTGTTTCTAGTATTCTGTAAGTTTGCTATCGTATTCTTCAAGATAGTATTTTCACAAACATGTTTAAACGAGTGTCAGAAATACTGCACAAAATAGGATTCTTATGAAAGTAACTTATACAAAACGACACCAGAGGGCGCTCTGCATCACTAGATTGAATATACTTTTTGACAGATAAACTAAACTGGCCACCTGTTAATCGTCCTAATGAAAATCATAGACCGAAATAAAAATAGTGCACAAAATATCCTTCTTATGAAAGCATCTTATACAAAAACGACACCAGAGGGCGCTCTGCATCACTAGATTGAATATACTTTTTGACAGATAAACTAAACTGGCCACCAGTTAATCAATCGTCCTAATGAAAATCATGGACGTCTTACATGAAGTGACGAATATTATCCAACCTCAACAAACCTTGATCGTTAGAGAGCCTTCTTTATTAAGTGTTTACTTAGGGAAAGCTTTCTTTTGTAACTCTTAATATAATTTAAGATCAATCGTATATTTATCTCAATGTTCTCTCTCTATGGATCTTTGGCCAGGTGGTTCAAGCGCTTGTCTTAACCACAACAATAAACCTCCCATCAGCTCTCGGGTTACTTACCTCTCCCTCTACCGACATTGGAAAGAGTGGATATTATTTTATTATGATCATAATTCGTTTGTTTATTTTTTCAGACAGTAAGGTGGGCCTGGCATGGCCAGGTGGTTCGAGCGCTTGACTCGCAATCTGAGGGTCGGGGATTCGAATCCCCGACCCACCAAATATGCTTGCCCTTTCAGCCGTGGGGACGTTGTTATGTTACGGTAAATACCACTATTCATTGGTAAGAGAGGAGTCCAAGAGTTGGAGGTGGGTGGTAATGACTAGCTGCCTTCCCTCTAGCCTACCACTGCTAAGTTAGAAACAGCAAGTGAAGATAGCCCTCGTGTAGCTTTCCTCGAAATTCAAAACAAACAAACATGGATTTTTTTTTTGTCCTTCTGTCGAAGACGTACAAAGTTACGATTGGATAATTTGTGTCACGAGATACTTGTACGTCACATTCAGAACGTTTAGCGCCTGGTGTCCAAAATTTTAAGGAAGTTGGTACAGGAATGATCAATCTGAACACCTTATGCGTATATGGCTTAAACTGCCAAGTCAGGCCCTATGATTCAGATGTAGCTGTCCCTAATTTTGAACTACTGACCTGAAGGAAGGCAGCCAGTCAGCAGCACGTGCCACCAAAAGGGCACTGTCGGACATTAAACTAAATATCGCAATCCAGGGACTGACGTTAATTTTTATAAAGCGCCCACATCTGAAAATGGGCAACGTGTGCAATACGATCACGTCTCGAACCTCTGACCACCCAGGCAGCAGCCCGAGACTCACTACCCACCGGGCCACGTTATGCCCAATTTTTAAGGTAAAAATATCCTTATATCTAAGACAAAACTGACAAGTCCAACGTTGATTTGGATCAAATAATTAAGGATTATTCAACACTAATTCATATTTAGGCAAAGATTTGACGTAGATGATTAGAGTTCTAATGTTATAACATACTAATTAGGCCTAGCGTATTATAAAAGTAGCTGAGGAGATGAAGCTGATGATGAGGGTAAAAGTTATAAAACAACAAGTGTAGAGTGTTCTAGAAATAATAGTTTCATTATAGGAATCAAGTAAAAACATTAATGTATTTTTTAATTTATTTACCCGTTATCTAACAGTGCTTACGTTTCACGTGCTCTTAGTCTTTCATTCTGCAAGTAGACCATGATATCATTTCAACACTAAAGTGATCAAATGGCTTTCTGAACGACTTATTAAAAACTATTTATACACAAAGAAGTTTTATATCCACGACTTTCTTGAGCACAGGGTCTCTAATAACGTACGAGTCATAACAATTACAATTAATCCTACCACTTCAAGTTGGGTTTACTTTACAGAGAAGAAATAAATAAATCAGTGATTTGCTCACCTTGTGTGGTCACTTATTTACACCGAATTCTGGGCTTGTTGCCATAGTAACCAGATTCATCATTAAAATAATATTGTGTGTTTTGTAATTTCGGGCAAAGCAACTCGAAGGCCATCTGCGCTAGCCGTTCCTAATTTAGCAGTGATAGACTAGAGGGAAGGCAGTTAG